TTGTATGTGTACAATCATCCATCTAATCATTTATTCATTTTTTGTAAAATTTATCATAAATGTTTACATTAAAATTTGTTTTTTTCTTTTTCTTTAGTTACTGATAATATGTTTACATTAAATTTCGTTTTTTTTTTTCTTTAATGACTGATAATATGTTTACATTAAAATTTGTTTTTTTTTCTTTTTCTTTATTTACTGATAATACCTAGCATATAATGCAATAAAATTTTTCTAATAAAATTTTAATTATTTTCAAATACTGTTTAAATTTTTTAATAATACTAGAATACATTGCTCATTTTAAAGAATGTAAATTGGTGAATGAACGCAGTGATAAATCATTAGAAATATTCTAAGCATTTAATGTATAAATTCTCTCGAGTTTTCCGACACTGTGTCTTTTAATTTTGTATAATTAGATCTGATTTAAACTAGTCTTTTGTTTTATCATATAAAGCCTGTCAATTTTCCGCTAATTTTATTGGACTTCACCACAATAATTATTTGAATGAGGTATTCGGCAAATTTTTTAGAATGTTTGTATGTGCGTTCGATCCATTATTTAATCTCTTTTCGGAAAACAAAAGCCCAGTTTGAAGATGTTGAAAATTACTTAATTTGTTATAAATACAAGATAACATCTCTTCGCCGAGTTATAAATGATTTATAAAGTTGTATCATTCATTATTGTCTATTTCACCTTTCTCTTTCCTCTTTAATGATCTCGTCAAATCAGTTGGCAATGGTTATCCTTTTCTGTTTAACAGCTAGTCTGATAACCTACGGTCATTTATAGTCTTGGCAGGAACAAGACAGTTGAGTTTACTTATATCATTAGGACCATCAGTTGAATAGACCCATCATCCTCCGATATCAACAAATACTTCCTTCGACTGGAACACGGCCGAGACGCACGTAAGCCATATTGCAATGGTACCAGTTGTACACCGCCAATCATATTTGCAGGAATCTTGGATTGCTTATTATGCTGCCATTTGATATTACCAAATACTTGATTGCTTTAACGATAATGTATGTTAAAGTACTTGTTGTTATCATACCATTCATTCTGTTCACATACCTGTTAATGTATTTTTCATTTTCAGTGCATTATTATCAGTTAATGAAGCGGATGCACGAGCGATGGCTCTTAATCCTCCTAATTTCATGAACAACATGAGAGGAGGCAACAACATATGTTTTGCAACTCTTATTAGTTCCAAATCATAAAGTGTTGCATGTTATATTAGTATATTAAACATTAGTGGTCATTTAAGCATCAACATTCCCAGTAAGAGTTTACCTTAAATTTGAGAGAATGATCACCAGTGGCAACACACTACAGATGGTCATTGATCGTGAAATTGATCAGAGTAAAAGTTAACCTGCCCAACTTTCTCAAATTTCTCCTAGCCCAGATTTATTTGGAACTATTTTAACGGGTTTATTACTAGGATCAGTGTATGGTAGAGGGTTCCCATATTCTTCTCCATATGGTTACTATTACCCATATTTCGGCTACCTTCCCTATTACTGCTATTACTATGGATAATTGTTTCATCTCCTCCAAATGCCTTTGTATTATTGCGCAGACATTAAATTTTAAAAATCACGCAAAACTTTGTTTGGCGTTCTGTTCCATATGAGCTATTAAATAGTTGGTGAGTTGAATTAATGTTAAAAACATATCAAAAGTCTCTGCGGCACAAGTTATCGTCGTCAAAGTCATCTACGGTTCTGTCACTGCTTATAGTACCTATACTGATCAATAACTCATGGCTAATTTCAACATCATTCACTCTTTGAATTATTGAAATGTTGTGATAAATAAGGAGTTAAAAAGCAACAGTTCATCTAAGAATAATAATTCCAAATTTGCATTTCTAGAATTCCTTAAAACATCGTACCAAAAAGACTATACTGGTCAATAACTCATGGCTAATTTCAACATCCGTCACTGTTTATAGTACCTATACTTTTCAACATCCGTCACTGTTTATATACTTACACTAATCGATAACTCATGGATTGAAACGAGAAGCCGGAAATAAATGAATATAGTAGTAAATGGCTAATTTCGATATCAATCAGTATTTAAATTATTGAAATATTGTGATAACTAAGGAGTTGAAAAAGCAACGGTTTCTCCGAAGTATAAGAATTCTAAATTTTCCATCTCTAGAATTCTTTGAAGCTTCGTACCAAAAAGATTATACGCGTAGGACAGTGCGTGTTAAATGCTAAGAACAAATAAATCAAATAAATTCCTTTATTTGGTAATACGCCAAATGTCGGTACTGATTAACATGATTTGCTGGTATTCATCACTGCAAAATGTCGTTTTCCTTCAATTAAAATTGATTAAATAAGAATGAACTGAATGTAAACGTACC